AGAATTAACAGAGTTTGCATGAACTCATTGCCATGCTGAGTAACTTAGGCTGCTGATGGATTTTATTCTATTCAAAATGTAGTTTACGATGCATTCAAAATGAAAAGTGCCGATATTGTCTCTCCTCCTGCTGAATCCTGGTTGGAGTAGTTCAGGAGACATTTTTCTCCCACTCTCTGCAAAATCATTTAGTCTGACGTGTTTACCTTCACACACTGACAATGACAAAAACACATTTCAATCCACTGAAAAAAATCAAACATTTACTGAGTAAAATCAGCAAAATCCATATTTTATTAGATGGTTAATTTGCTAACTGACGGAAGACAAGCTTTGGCCAAGTATTTTCACAAGAAGTACTAAATCTCTTGCTATAAATCTCTAGTTATATAGTTCTACCACAGCCAAACAGTTTTTGGTAGAATTTTCCTGTGATACATAAACCTGAAAATTAAGTGACACAACAACATTTAAAACTTCTGTTATCATTAAAGCAAAATATAATACAGTATAATTTCTCAGTGGTATATTTAAATGTACTGCAAAATGTATACAAAGTCAGTCCAAGATCAATAAAGAATCAGTTCTGCTTTTTGGACTTTTCCCTTCTCAAAGATACAGGTTTTGTAGAAGACCAAAGTAATTTAGGACTTGTCTGTATGTATCCCCATTAAAAGGCAGTGTGTGATAAAAATAACATGATTAAAAATAATGAACATGTGATGCAAACATTTTGCATTTTCAATAAAAAAATAGAAACTAACCAACAACTAAACACATCTTAGAAGCGGAACACTGAAGCCTGCCATTATATAGCTATGTTTCTCATTCTTTTCTTTGAAGATTACCAGCACACAGAAAATAAGTGAATTTTATCAAAATACAGCACATTTCTACTAATATATCCAAAAAATCGTTTTCTATGTAAATATTACTGAAAATCAAATAAAAAGAATTAAAATATACAAAGAGTTGTTAAAGGGTTTCAATTAAAATTATTAAAACTATACACAGTACAATAAGCAATAGTTAACATCTTTGAAAGAAGTGCAATAATATTGGCGTTAACTTATTAAAAAAGTACTGCCTGTTTATTACTGCTAGCTATGTATAATTTCTCTCTCTTCCAGCTCATTGTCCCAAAAGTAAAGGAAGCTGGTCTTTTTGCTAGCTTTATTAAAAGCATTTACTTTTTGGGTTGAAAAAAAGCGCTTATACCTGTCTCAAACTACCAACTTTTATGTAATTAAAAATGAACTGCAATAACTGAATATTGCTCCAATGATAGGCTAATCATTAGCCCTGCTTAAAAACAGTTTTCGGTCTTCTGTGGCACTTTTCCCTGGTCCATAACAACCGTATGAATTATCACTGCAGGTTATGCAGTCTCTATTCAATTACAAAGGAGAAAGATAATGTTTCTGGTAAACAAAATTAATAGAAGCATAACTGAACATTTTATACAGTAATAAGGAACAAAGGCAGCCTGTGGTAAATCACTATTACATTAATGTAGTTAGAAACCCTTTAATGACTCTGAAGTGTCTAGTTCACATTTAATGTTACCTGTAGGAACAGCCCTTTAAGAAACCTCATTACCAATTGGTGGGTTGTAAGTACACCCTCCCTTTGCTCTCCATCTCACCACAGCAATTCTCCACCACTGCTCAAAGTTTCAAAACTTGCTTTGGTTGCCTAGCTCCATGCGTATGGTTTCCTTCTTGATTAACAAAGCAATGCAAAGGCCAAACAAAATCAAGATGTCTTTCATAATCCTTCCTGCACCATTTGCTTTTGTGTCTGTTTAAATATATATTACAGGCAACAACCTCAAAAACTGGCCATTTCAGTTTCATTTTTAAAATCTGTACGCTTAAAATGGAGTTCTTTTTATAAAGATAAAAGTATCGCCATTTCCACAAAATTCAGGATTTCTATCACAGAGAAAAATCTCTGGGCACATTTCCACAGTACTGTTGAAAAAATTATGTATGCAAGAAAACCCAACTAAACATAAATCACATGTGGCAAATGAATATTGAATGACTACATTAAGAACAAATCCTGTATAATATCACAAATTTGTAGTTATAGTCTTCCTAAAAAAACACCATAAGCTTTTATTGCATTTTCTATTGGTAGATGTACACTCCAGAACTAAACACTTTTTCTTCTTTCCTGATTCCAGATTTAGATAGCAGATAATTATTCCACCTGACCTTTATTCTGTCCAGTCAGCACCACCTTCCATCTACCCATTCATCTATACAATGTGCACATAGCAAAGCCAACACTTCATATCCCCATTCATATCTACAGAAGTGGTTCAGCGTAACACATTAATATGTGGTGAATCAAAATAAAGGCAATAAACAGCTACAGGATAGACAGCCCTGCCATCTGTCCATTGGCTACGACTGAGGCTTTGCAAAGCCTTGCACGAAGTTTAGTAATGTGTATGAATTATCAAAAAATAAACCTACCATCTGTACAAAAAAACAACACAGGTTTGTTCTTGGAGGAGTGATCCTTAGATTGCTATAATGCTTAAAAACAAGTTTATTCACCATACGCATTTCTAAAATTATTTCTTGTACGTTCTATACAGTGGTTTTGCCCTCTTTAACCACAAGTTCATTATTTCCTATACAAATTTTGATCATAATTCTTTCTGAGTTCTTTTAATGTATAAAAATATGCAAAATATTGTTTCTCCTAAGTCCTTCAATGAATCCTGTTGGCTTATCCCCACAATCAAAGGTACTTATGAAGAAACTTCTCGTACAATGATGAGTTCCACAGCATTCTGAAAAGTCTTTAGCAAAGATACAGCTTGTCCATGATCAATATTGATGAAGCTGTAGCCATTAGCCTAAAAGGAAATATTTAAAACTCAAAATGACAGTCTCATATGCCATGTTAGTGAAACACAACTCATATTTCATGTTAGATTTTTAAGCTTTAAGGTTTAAAATAACCAAATTCTATATGAATGCAGAGAATAAAACACAGCAGATTTGCAGATTAGTTGAACATGTATCTGTATGCTACAAAAAAACCTGAACTACTGTGTCAGCCTTGGAAGAATTTTGCAAATAACCAAAGGAAAACCAAACTTTGAACCATTAACATCACACATTTAATTTATCAGTCTTAATACAGACACACCAGAAAACCCCTAAACCTTGTACAAATCACCTTGTACAAATCACCTTGTACAAACCTTGTACACATTTTAAGTAACAGAATATTAGAAATGGCATTTGTGATAAATTAAAACTATTGAAGCCTGTGATAAATTAAAACTATTGAAGCCTGTAACAAAAAACATTAATAGCACAGGGAGCCATTTTACGGTGTGAGACCTCTGGAGGTCATCCCCAACTTGAATGTGCCTATGACTCTAAAAAACATTGTTACTGTTGGACAAGTTTGTCTTGGCAAACACAGGCAGGCCTAAGCAGCCTTAAAAAACAGGGAAAACGTGGCTATGGTTCAACTTCTCCAAGTACTACTGCAAATTCACATTGAGTTTGGGCAGCAAAATCGTGCAGAAGGACAGATTCATCCAGTTTAACTGTTATTGCTTCCAGCTGTGCATCCCACCTTTCTCCCTGAGCTGCTTATGTGGTGACAGAGTGAACTTGCCATGCTCTCTGTGCCTTAGCTGTGCCACTTTGAAAGCTGCAGTTCCTTATCCCATCACCGAACACTTGCAGTTGTTACCAGCTGAATCCTTGGTTATTAAACCAGTGGTTTTCAAATCTTTCTAGGGTTGCAGAGGAAGATTTAAATACACTGTTCAGAAAGCAAAAGCAGCAACAACTGTCCCAAATCATCATTTGTACAGAATGTCCTAGCCTTAGTCTTCAGTCTTACTTGCAATTATCAAGTTGCTAGTTGTGTAGAATATTTTATTAGACATAGGGATTAGACATGCACTGTAATATGCATGCCTATTGCATGTTTTACAGAGAACGTTGCAAAATCAAGCATAAGCAAAGGCATTTTGGAAGAGATGATATTCAGTAAAAAACCCCACAAATTGTCTGAGTGGTAACAAGACAGAGTGGGGCTGTCATTACATCATCACTGGAATTATCACAGGTATAAAGAACGTGCTGTTACACAAAAAATATTCTTAGTTATGAGACAGGAAGCAGCCTCTAATTGTCTAAGCATGAAAATGCAACTTCACCTTTAGCTCTTTTTCAAACTATGAATTCCTCATTAAACAAAAATCTTTAATTTGAAGAATTAGACTAAGTTTTCAATTTGGCTTTGTTTTAGAAAACTGTTCACAGGATGTTGTGGTTTCATGGAGATACTAGTGGGGAGGGTGGTGTTTGGTTTTGAGTTTTTTGTTTGTTCTGTTTTTAGAAAACTAAAATGCAGCAGAGTCGACTTCACCAACATTCTCAAGTCACTAATGTGGTGAATAATTATTTTTAACAAGCTTTGCAACTTTAAGGGTGGCTACAACAATGTTCAAATGTCCCCTTAGCCCATTTCCTTAAGAAACTGTTCATTTCTCTGACCCCTCCCCAGATAGCTTAATGAGTTCACTAGACAAATACAAACAAATCTGATACAGAAGAGGTCTGAAAGGTACAGACACAGATTAAAGAACTACACAGCTTGCAGCCCAGAAGCCATGACTCCTGAACCTGGTGCATTGGCAGCAGATGGGGCAGCCAGGAGGTCCCTGCTGGGACCAGCCAGCTGAGAGGCAGCTTCTGCATGTCCAGACTGCCAGTGGAGGAGAAGCAGCAAGGGCTGGCAGGAACTGCAGGGTGGAGAGGGATTAAAAGCAAGATGCAGCTGGGGAGAGGGGCTGTGAGGGGTAACTGCTTGTGTTCTGATAACACATTATTCAGAACACTGCATTCAGAACAACCATAAAATGAAAAACTGAATGACAGTCAAGCCTACTGAAATGCTCATGTTCCACCACCTTAAATGACGTTTTGTGTCATTCTTTTTTCTTGTTTTGTTTTTAGAAGTGCGAAAAATGTTCGGAATTTGAAAAAATGATCTACCATGCTTCAGTCCACATCACCTATCCTGATGCTAGGCGGAAGAAAATTAAAAGCATCATCCCAGAATATAAGAAAAAAATCTGGAAAAGGTACTGGTAATCTATCTAAAAATTAAACATTCTGCTCTTAGGTGCAAACCAAAAATGAACTGGTATATTACATAGGCTAATTAATTAGGTGATTACAGTACCTGAATTATTTTATCCCCAGGCTGCAGCAACTTAGATGCCGGTCCGTCTGGCTGCACTCTCGTTACAAATATTCCCTTGAAAAACAGAGGTGGAAAACATTTTGACAACTTATTTATGAATAGCAGGACTAGCACCAAACAGATGTAATTAAAAACATTTTTTCAATTTCTCATCCTAAGTAGGACAGAATGCAATTTTATTCTACAGGTCTACTGTCTTTTGAGACTGCCTTCCTTTTCTGATTTTAAATCCAGGAGAATTATCTTTAAAGGGGTACTGAGGGGCAAATTCTGATTTGCTCTGGCTTAATTTGGCAGATGTGTATGTCAAAATGTATATGTCAGGTGTATATGTCAAAATTAATTATCAACTACCAGAAATAAAGCTGTAGGGCTGTGGTCTCTTTTTTAATAGGATTCATAATTGTACCCTCCGTAATTCACTATCTCAAATCTGTTGAGTGATTACGAGAACTGTGCAAGAACTACTCTGCTAGAATAATCCTCTGTGTTGCCATGTGACCTCTGTGGTCACTTACAACCTTGACTTTCCACACCATTTGTCCCCAGTTTTCTCCCTTCCAGTCCTGGAGGTTAGTGGTTTGGGAAGTACATATACTTCCTTTTCTCCCTTTGCTAAACATAAGAAACATTATAAATCAGAATGCTTTTTAAAAGCATTAGTATAAAATACTTACATCATCATCTGGTCTGAATGGATTCCCTCTACCACCAACTCCTCCTGATATACTAAATCCAAGTTCTGGATCCTTGTCAATTCTCACTCGAATCTAAGTAGTTACAACTAAAGTTAGATAAACTGGCTGAAAATATGCATTCAGAGCTACTATCATGAAATTATTACTACGAATTCAGGTGAACAAAAGCTTTACAAAGCAAAAAAAAAAACAACCCACCAGTTCAAGAGAGTATTATATCTCATTATTTTACTGCAGAACAAGATTACATTACAGCAGCATCATGTGCCTAAGTTTTACTCCAATATCACTATTATTATAATCATAATTCATGTGGGCTTAAAATTCAAATATATTTTGATATTATGTAAATTATTTTAATGCCCCTAGCAGATATATATGCTCCTATGAAAGAACCTATTCCTCATATTTCTTTGCTACCTTAGCTGAATTTTAAAAATCAAATCTCATTCCTACTTTCACTCTAAGTAGCCAACACTGTCTTCTTTCTCTTGTTAGAAGAGTTGACTAGAAAACTTACTTTACACAGTAAGTGGACATTCTCATTCTAGCACAGAATTTAAATGTAGTTCTCAGTATTTTCTCAGAAGACCCAAAACAATACAGAAAGAAGGCTGCCACAATGAAAGAGCCATTAAATGGTACAAGAATTTCTTATATGTTCTACATCTGTCTATCATAATAAAACTGATAATTATCAGGCATGCACAAGATTGCTCACACTTTTTCTTAGAGACTTCTGTTTGTGAATGCACATTTCTACATTTGCAGGGTTTTGAACTGTTCCAGATGCAAAGTGCTCCAAGTTGTACAGCTACTTTGTATTTTTTCAGTTACTAGCTAAATAATGAGTTAGGGAACAATAAATATAGTTGAGAAATAAATTTCCAGCTCGGTAAAAAGACGTAAGTTTAAGTTTCTGGTACATTCTGTTAAAAATCTACCACATTTCTCTCAAAACTGGAAGGAACATGTGATTTGAGTAGAATTTCACTGCGATAACATTGTCTTCTGCTGGAGATAAATGCCTATATGATTTCTGTCACCATTTACAGAGAAACTGTAATACATGAAAACAATGTAACAATTCACTGCCATTTACTGACAGATGTCATATCATACTAGGTTTTATTCTTACCTCTTGCTTTGCCAACTCATGGCTTTGTCTGGGAGAACACTGGGACTGGGTATAGGGAGGTTGGTGGGCAACTTTCAACATCAGATAATCAATTAATTGCTCTCTAGATGGATGTCTTGCTACTGATGATTGAGGAGGGAGATGATGGACTTGGCTGTAGTTTGCCTGAAGTCTTTGAGGCTGGCACATTTGTCCATTTGTCAAAGGCATCTGAATAACATATGAATTCTCAGTGTCACACATTTAATAAGCAGCCATCTTCAATTCCTTGACTGTTCTTAGTAACATTACTAAAACTACTCTTCTGGATCACATATAATTATACTCCATTTTCTTTAAAGTTATAAGCTCTGACATACTGAGAACAAATATGAAAAACAAAAACTTTGAATGCTAATCTACTAGAACAGACTAGACAACCTTTGCTTTTAGCACTTGTTTCACTGAGTTTTCCCAAACATTATTTTCTAGCAGTGCAGCTAACAGTATTGACACTTGGTTGGTATCATTATAGTTTGCACTTTCCTTGCATAAAACTCAGAGGTTTTGTAATGATTTCCAGTAGATCATACAAAAATAAAAATCCGCCCTAGCTACCAGACCAGACAGAAACTATATGCTCTCCAAGCATCCTAAGGTGACCACAAGAAAACCTTCTGAGCAAGTTCACATCCATGCTCAAGATTTTACTATCAAAATTGCAGTATTTCCAACTGATGTTATTCCTCTGTTAACATATGTCACTGATTTGATAATGGTGACAAGCAGCAGTAAGGTACACAACTGTCAAGGTATACAGTGCATTCAAACTATGTCACCAGGAATGATGCTGAAGGTGACAGTGTTTCTTACTGAAGTCTCAGAGTTACTGCTCAGCTCTGCAGCTCTGTGTTGAGATGGGCAGTCTTTTCCCTCCTTGCCCACATGCCTCATGTTCTTATCCACCCTAATTAGTCACTCATTTGTCTGTATGATACCAAAAATGCCACAGGCTTGAGTTACAGATTTTTTTTCTGCCTGCCACCATTATCCCATTAGTTATGGGATACAAGGATATTAAAATACTCCCTCTCTCAATATTATAAATAACTGAAGTGTGCAAACTTCAACCTTTAACCATGCTATGTGAATGGACACATATCAGAATCTGTTCTGAGTTTATGTCAAACTGATTCTGAGAAAGGATAATGTATTTAATACATTTTTAGCTTATTTATAGATCAGATGTATTTAATTTACACAATTTTCCACTGCCTTTTCTGAAAACCTGAAGTATGAAGGAAAATTACTTTTTATTGCAATGCCAGAGGTAGAGTTTACATAGGCAAAATATATCCACATGCAAATTCCCAATATCCAGTGTCTGTAGAAATGCAACTGAAATTACTGAAGTTATAAGAATAAAATCAATTGCTGCATCATAATAATTTACAAGCATCCATTTAGTTTCATTGCAGTAAGTCCCACCTCTATCAATGGTGCTTAAGACATGAATGCAGTGCCCCCTACAAATTCTGCTTTATCATCACAATTTCATCACATTTTTCAAGTTTGTTCTTTAAAAGGTTTAATCAGATTCAGATTGCTTTTCTGTAATCATCTGCCATATTCCAATTTCCACTTGCAAGTACTTGTTTGGCTGCAGATTTTTTCTTTCAAAGCACCTACTGAAGAAAACTAAGAACTCTCTCCCTTGATATAGTTAACTAAGTTTTGTCTTCCAAAAGAGGATGCTATTTCATTTATACCAGCTTCGAAGCCTGCATAATACATTTTAAAGAAGCCCTAGCTCCAGCTGCTATCCCAACATAAATTGGTACTATTAATAAAAAATACACCCTTACAAATAATAGTAAATAATATCCTATCCATGGTGTCATGCACATAATTACCTGCACAGCTATTTTCTTCATGCTGTCTGGAGGAACATCTTTGAGACTAAGTGTGGCAGATGAGTAATTCTGCTGTCCTGAAATGAATACTTCATCCTGGCATTGGTCTCCTGGAGTAGACGCCTGAGGATGCTTTAAGCAGAATGGAACAGTAAAGACAGCTGTCTTCATATAATTCAAATTAAAACATTCTGATAAAATATGTTAAGGGCTTTATCATTCTTTATCTTCTTTTATTAACTAGTAGAAAATCTCACTAGCCAAGCCACCATAAACCCATAAAACACTGATGAATATTTACAAAAACTCTCAACTGCAGAGGTGTCTTTAATCACCAGTAAGCTGATGAGACAAGTCAACAAATGCTAGGGACTAACTTATTCAAGGATTAAACTTCTGTTGACTTTATCCTGCTCACTATGGATACCATAACATCACTCAGGACGCTAAGATTTAAAAACTCATTTCCTCACATTTTCTTAGAATTTACTATTAATTTTCTTGAAGGCCCACAGTAACTTACAGTTCAGTTCATATTGTCAGAATTTGATTTGAGGGAGGAAAAAGCACTGTAAGATTTTGTTCAAACCTTTATCAACCTAGATTAAATTCAGGATGGTAATCTCTTGTTCACAAAGGTACAACAAAACCAGACAATGTGTTCCATCTACAAAAGCCAATTAAAAAACTCAACTTCATGACATTAAATTGAAAAACACTGCAGTAAGTTTAAGGCATATAAAGTGAAGGTAAAGTATTTAATGCCTAAAAAAAATTCCAGCACATAAATTATATTCTTTTTATTACAGCATTGTGCATATGTAAAAGGATAACTCTATGAATTTAAGGACCACCTCAGTGTTTATTCTTTCCCCCTCTACATATTGCAATAACCTCCTGTAGGTACTCACTCGAACAATGTGCACACCAGAACCTCTTCCGTCTGCAACACTCAAGGCAACACTACCCTGGCTGCCATGCAGATCCCTAGAGCTGCCATAGTGAAAGCTGCTAACTGCAGCATAATTGGAATTAAAGGACCGAGACAGCATGCTCTGAATAAAAAGGGGACAGATTTAACACAGAGATTAGTGCAGCATGCATAAACCACAAAGACATGTTATACATGTAATACAAACGTATTCCATTGTCATGCAAGATAAAAACCATGCAAGAACAGTATGTCTGTGATGTATAAAACACAACTTAGTGACCCTATTTACCCTTATTTACTGTAAATCAGCGTGCAATCAGCAGTTAACATGCAGAATTACATGTAAATAAAGTCATTCAAATATTCACATGTCTGAAAAAAACAACAAAGGTGCTTATCAATATTTTCAGGTTTTCGATAAATTTGCAACATATCCAATATGTTGTAAGAAGAGAAGTTGGCAGTCAAGAAAAACACCTATGGAAAACCAGTTATTATTTTGTCTCATCCCCCCACATACGCTACTGGTAAAGTACAAATAAAAATTTACGCAGAGATTTGACTGACTGGATTTTCTTGCTATAGCCACCCTGTCAACATCAGCAATTCCAGTAACACTTTATTCAAGAATGTGAACAAGCTCATTTAAAGGAGAAGAAGCTTGAAAGAGACTGATACCACCCCTGTGCTACTGTAGGCAATTAAACCGGTAACATGACCTCAAGGACAGAAGTGACAGTGGTTTGGTTTCGAGCTTCATTATCTTGCAAACTGACCCCTGCAATATTGTCAAGGCTAACTAAAAAAGGAGGAGACATTACCATCTTGCCACTATGGACTTTTGTAGCTGTAAGAAGAAAACAGACTACGCAAGGGAAGAAATAGAAAATCCTCCACATTCCACCTGATGAATGAAACAAACCTATCTTGAAAATGTGACAAACCCCATGAAAAAATATGATCATAGGAAAAGATACACCACAAAGCATCAAACCTCAGCAAATTCAAAGTTGTCTAATTTTTCAAAGTTAAAGAAAGGAAAGAAATATTCAGAACAGGTACAATTTGACTAAGATACAGCAACAATTCTTGCATGAATAAATATATTTTGGCATTTGCCTACTGACTACGTATACTAATGTGATTTTGAAAAGAGTCACTAGTCCTCAGGCAGACATCTGCTCTTTCATACAAGCTTCATCTTGTGAAAATAAATAAAACTGTTTTAATAATCAAAGTCAGATGCCTCTGCATACTTGTATTCCCCAGATGTTCTGGTAGCACAGTCTTTGGAAACTCCCTTGGAAAACAGTATTTACTGACCATATTTTTTATTGGCCAAGGCTCTTGGATAATTTCAATGGCATAGTAAGCATTCTTTTGGGAACAGTTTGGGAATTGAAGTGCTACATAATACATTTACTTAGGTAAATTTAGACAATAAACAGTGGAATTTATTTAGGAGAATTTCTATTAGATAATATTTTTGTAATTTTAAGACTGGATGGAATCTGTCATAACAATCCATGAAATTCCGGTGTAAAGAGAAACTAGTAAAATTGAAGTATCTGCAGGGAACAAGACTCTACATTCTACTTATCTTGGAATAGCCTTAACTGGTAAGTTACCTGCTAAGCCTAAGTACTACTCCTTTTATTTGTTTACTTATTTGTTTAGCAATACTTAGAATCAACTGCAGGCTAAAGGTGGACATAAGTTTCCCTTTGAGATGATATTAAATGTCTAGAAATCTCTTCAGTTTTCATTCCCCATGACCATCTAAGACTCATCAGAAGAAGTTTGCACAAGGTATTCTGAAAATGCCTAAAATTACTGGTCTAAGCCTTTTGGAGTAAAAGCTCACAAGCAGGGGAAAAAAAAAATCTGACAGAATTTTAGCAAGATACCAGTTAATCTCAAAGAAAAGGTTAAACATTATAAAACTATTCTTCAGTCACAAGAGGAAAAAAAGGCATGAATTTAAGTCTCTTCCACAAATAACAGCATTCCTACTGAAGAGTTACACATGGAAAATTACGTGTAATTGAAATTCTACTGTCATAAAATGTTTGCAGGGTCTGAACTTTTGCTGTTTACACAGTAAACGCACAAGAATTTTAATCCTTTTAAAGTGTGATGGTTTGACTTCTGAACTCCACAAAATATCACACTGATGGTTCAGTAGTTCATTCAAAATGGAGAAAATACAAATAAAACTAAAATCAAAATTTAAAACTAACAACTACTGAATGGATAACATTCCGGTAATTTATCAGTGTCAAAGTATTCTTCAGGTTATGATCTTACAAACACTTAAGAACTTAATTTTATGTATTCACAGACCCACTAAAGTTACTGTCCTTGACACACTGAAGCAAGCTTACCTTGGAGAAAATCTGAGACCATATCAATTAAAATACTTTTGCATGTTAGGGACGTGTTCAAGAAAAACTTTGATTAAAACTACAATTCTATATCAAAACTAAAACATTTAGATTTTTTTCTTTTAATAAGGCACTGTACACTGAGAACTCTGAGAAAAAAAACCCAACTATTCTGATTTCCAAATTTGAAGTGAGGAATTAAACTTTATGATCGCTCCACTGAAAGCTCTGCACTTTAAATAGCACATAAAGTAGATGAAAAACCAGACGACTTCATTGAAGATGAAATTAGAACTGAAAGCAAACACACACCTAATGAACACCCAAGAGATCCACAACAAAAAAAGGTAATATACATATGTAAAGGAAGGACAGGCAGGGTCACTAATTATTTTTGTACACTCAGCATGGAAACGTAATAGATATTTGCAGATAACTATTGCAGATTTTTTTAATTGCAGTTTATGGATAAGAAATTCCTCTTCCACATAGTAGTGTGACATTAGTGCTTCTACACAGGCAGTTTAAAATCCTAAATAAAACCCAACAAGATGACTATAGGAGACTACTGCAACATACCAGGTGGTAAAATTGGCACCTCACACTCAAAAAGAAAAACATGCTGAAAAATATTACTGTTTCTGAAATTCCCCTGTGCACTATATTTATGAGGTTGGGGGTGGGGCAGAATTGACTGCCTGCTTTCCAACAGCTTATATATATAAACACTAGAGAGCAGCTTGACATTTAAGTAAGCTCCTTTCTCCCACAACAAAACATGCTTTGCATCAGGTAAACCGGCTGTTTCTTCTACTATATGCGTGATTTCTATTTACAAATGGTCTCATGAACCATTTTCACCTTCATTCAGCCAGATGGATAATTTTAGTTAGTCTCTGCGTTTCACAGAATATTCTGAGTTGGAAGGGATGCAAAATGATGGAGTCCAACTCCTAAGCGAATGGCCCATAATGGGATCACTGATCAGTGAGCCTGTTAAAGGTATTACAAATGCTGGTTACTTGGCTGGAACCCATTTTTAATCATTTTTGGTAGAGTTAAAACTATTCTGTATCTCTCCTCATGCAAATTAAACTCTTGGAAGTTTTTTTTCCTACCTATATCAGTAAAAAGGGATAACAGATAAAGAACTAGCTTCTCTAGTTTGTCCAACAAGCAGACACTGTTTCTTTCATTCTTTCTGTGCATTCATTCTTCCCTCTCTCTTCAGTTACTAAATTTTATAAAAACAAAATCAACATGTCTTTGAGGAGCTTAGGAAAATAAAATTTAAACAAAACAAAACAAAACCACAACAAAAATCAACACCCAAAAGTCCACTACACCCTCCCTTCCTAATAAGCACAAAGTAGAAATAATAAACATGATTAAATTCAATAAGAGTCATAGCAAAAGTAATACTAATAACCCATACTGGTCAAGAAGTATTAAATATTTGTCAAAATGTGCGATTTTATATACCTGTTTTTGTCAGTGTTGTATCTAACACTTCTAAAAACCTGCTATTTTAAACCCATGAAAGCTTTGTTGGAGTCGTTTCCAATTAATGTTCCTTAAATGAGTTCTGTAATTGAGCTTGTTCCTTAAATGAGTTCTGTTAATTACTGATTTTTTTTTTCAGACTTCAAAACTTTCAGAAGTCTTTTTTTATAGACTAAGCACCCTCACCACTCACCTAATTTTTAATTACAAACAGAAATACTGAAACCATTATTTTAAAAGAGCAAAGAACTATCCAGTAAATTCCTAGAATTTTCACATTATCATCTTTGCCAGCTGCCATATAGGATCATATCTACATTTTTCACAGTTCAGATTCTTCTTTTTAAGTCCGTTATATCCTAGAGAATATAATGTTGACAATTATATACGCATTCACTTTTAAACCCATAAATATGTCTCAGATTGTTAAGTAATAGCTACTTTAAAACACTTCAAGGCCAGAACAAAAACACACACATACAAAACAGACTTAAAACATCTGTTAAATTAGATCCACAGCTAAGATCTCAATAGCAGCTATTCCGTATCAGTCTAGTAGGAAAAATTAAAGTTTACATATAAAGCATAATAGAAAGTATGGACAGATAAAAAGGGAATCAAGTAAGGCGATCAATGTCCTTTCAGTAAAGGTGATAACTCTTCTACAGACCTGAACAGGTATCACTTCTGTATTAAACAGTGTTCTTAGCATGCAGATGAACAAGCAATAAACAAACTGCATTAGCAGTGCACTGAAGTTTTGTTTCCCTCTGTATTCAGAGAGTGCTGGGATTTTTGCTTCTCTTGTCATTTCATGTAAGATTTGATAGAACTATCCAGAAGAACTGAAAATGAGGGAATGTTTATTAGAGTTGGAACATGGTGACACTTGACCCTCTTGTAGGAAAAAGGGTCCCCCACACTACAGCACAGTACTGTCAAAGTCCGAAAACATTTTCTGTTGTAGGTGACAATCTGGACCAGAACAGGTACAGCTGTTGTGCAGGCTTCTTTAAAAAGAAAACCCATCCCTTTCTGTCACCAGAAGTTATGCAACTTAAAAAAAAAAAAAAAAAAAATCCAAACCAAAACAACAAAAGCAAACCTATCCCTCCAAATACTGGGATTTCTAAAGAAAAATTATATTTAAAAGTAATTTTCCCCACTATCTCCAATTAAATTTCTCTAGCTATCACAGATATTCGAGTATTTAGCATAATAATAATAAAACAAAGTATGTTCTTAGAAAAGAAATTAAAAAACAAAATCCATGTAGCTGGCATAATCAAAATGTATTTTGGCTGCTTGACTTACTTCTCTTCCAAAGAAACAGGGTCAGGCTAAATGACATTCTGTCCATTTTTTAGTGATGATTTTTTCAACTGGACAGCACAGATTACACTCTTACAGGTTCTACTCAAATTCTTAAGATATATAATTGTTCAGCTCTACACATCAGCTCAAGTTCTTGATAGCATTTACAGTATATAAAGTATCCTCTTCCTCATCTCTAGTTCTATCAAAACCTACTGTAATTTTCTGAAATGAAGAAGATTTTTAAGTGTTCTCATCTCACAGCAATAAATGTTCATTCAACAATCTGTCAGATACCCAGCTTCAAAAGATAACTGGCTTGAAGGCAAATACATGATAATTATGGCTATTGGATTCTTCAGCAACTAAAGCTGTAGACCTATACTTCCAAAGAGATTTTACTGATTTTTCCTTCTTCTTAAAGAGAAGAAATAAGGGGAAAAAGACAAAAAAGAAAGATCAAGAAGTATAAGGGAATATTTAGTATAATGTGAATACAATGCTACAATAATTACCTGGCTTTCAAGAGCTGGCCTTGCAGTCCAGCAGGTCAGTGTGACATATTTAATGTATTCAATAGTAATTTGGCTAAACTGGCAGGTATGATGTA